TATATTAAAGAAACAGACATAGAGGTCAAAAGAAATCCAGCCCAAAATAAAACCTAATTCTCAACTTCATGTTCCCCAGCCCATAAAGAATCAGATGTCTATTTTAGTTGAATTACTCCTTTTTTTTTATTTCTGGAATTAGGGTTTTCATTTATTTATCTTTTTCCTTGTTCTGTTTAACACAATTGATCTTCTAAAACAATGTTATCGGAAAACGTATCGGTGACGCCGTCGCTGAGAGCAATAGAATCGGCGATCAAACTGGTCGACGTCAAAAAAGACGAACTCAAGAAGGCGTTCGATGACCTCCACGCCAACTCTATGCACCTCTCCTCTTTCTCTATCTCATGGTCCGACCTCGATGCTCACTTCACCAAGATTCAGAACTCGGTGACTCAACGGTTCCGCATCCTCGAGTCCCGCGAATCCCTTCGCAAACCAATTGATGGCTCCCCCGTTTCGAAGTCCACTCGTGCTCAACTCAATCGCCCCCTAAACAGGGAGACCCACCGGCTCCCAACACGTATGCTGAGAACCATCGTCGTCAAATTCCGTGGGCGTGCAGTCTGATGGTTTGGTTCCGCCGTCAGGCCGCGCTGACTCAGTGGCGACTCGACCAGAACTTAAGGAGTTCTGTGAGAGAATGATGGGAAGGGGTTGAGGAAGTACTATACGACCGCGTAAAAGAACGGGAGGCTATACGGATGGAGCTTCCCGTGCATTGAGGAGTGCTGAGGATCCTGGGGCAATGGTTTTGGATGCAATGGAGGAGTTTTACACTGGGAATTCGCAGTCTAAAGGGATACAGAACCAGGAATCCTCGAATTAAGGAGAGTTTGTGTGGTTTTATTGGAGAAGTTGATGGAAACTGGCACAAGTATCAATGAAGAAGTGAGGGATAGAGCAAAGAAGTTAGCTTTAGAGTGGAACGGCAAGGTCAAGTTGCTCAAAGATAACTCTTTGGAGATATTGGGTTTTTTGCATTTAGTGGCAACTTATAGTTTGGGGCCTTTGATTGATAAGGGGAGCTTGTTGATTACTTCTTTACCATTGCTAAATTCCAGCAAGCTACTGTATTGTGTAGGTCAATTGGTTTAGGGGAGAAAATTCATGGTAAGGTTATTTATTTCTTGATTTGAATGCAATTCTTATCATGTGAATTTGGTTTATTTGATTTTGGGATTGAGTATTTTGCTTGCTTTCCTATATTTTATGGTATATAGATTTTGTTAACTTACTCGGTAGCAGTTTGTCTTATCATGTATGGTTGATTTAAATTATTTGGTGTCTGAAGAGCTTTTAAGAATTGAAGTTTTAATATTGGGATTGATATATCATCATGTCTAGCCGTTTTAAGGTATATGATGGGTGGTGGTTAGTGGTGTCTAGCTACTGTTTTGTCTAGGCCAATTGGTTTAGGGGAGAAAATTCATGGTAAGGTTATTGATTTTTTTTATTTGAATGCAATTCTTGTCATGTGAATTTGGTTTGTTTGATTTTGGGATTGAATATGTTGCTTGCTCTCATATGTTTTATGGGTATATAAATTTTGTTAACTTACTCTGTAGCTGTTGCTTTCTGGGATTGATATGTCATTAAGTCTAGCTGTTTAAGGTATATGATTCATGGTTGGTTAGCGATGCCTTGGTTGAATTTGGTTATTTCTACATTCACTTAGGCTTATTTAATTTCTTGTCGGTGTTTAGCTTATTTTCCCACCATTTTATATGTTTTTAAAGTTCTCTCACTAGATACATTGATAAATGATCTTTTATGAGATGGTTTCCTGCATATCAGTGAATGGTTTTATTGATTAGATGGGGTTCAGTTGTATAATTTCTGCATTAGCATTGGAAACACAATTTTGAAATCCTAGGTGTTGCATGATCCTTTTTATTCTGGTCTTGGTGCCTTGGATTTTGATGTGACTGCTTACCTAGGCAATGGAGGTACTTTATTTTTTGCCATATTGGAAAGGAAGTATCTTAGTTTGGCCAAGTTTAGACACAAAGATTTCCCAAGAGAGCAAAACAATTTCATGGATTAAGAAAAGAAAAATTGAAAATATGGGTAAATCTTTTTGTTCAATCAAATCAATATGTGCATGTGTAATTGGTGTAGCATATTGTTATCTCGTTTAAATAATCAGCTCAAGTCTAATGGTCATTGATCATATATTTCCATAGGATGTACATAATTTTCTACCCCTTTTGGGATTTCGAATTCTCTGTCCCTCTTACCAGTAGATCTGATGAAAACAGCCTTGCCTCATGCGTTGCAGATTTGATCCAAAAACTGGTAGATGATGGGAAACAATTGCTTGCTGTGAAATTTATTTTGACTTAGGGCTAGTAGAAAAATTCCCACCAGGACCTCTTTTGGATGCGTATCTGGAGGAGACAAAGAGCAGGCTATGCAAGTAAGTGAGAAAGAAAGAACTCCCTTAAGTCACAGGGAAACTTTCATTTCCTTCAAACTTTTGGAAGTACGAAACTTCAGTATTCAATTTTTTTCCTTTTACTAATTTCAGTTTCTCGTGCAGAATATTGCCGCTGATGGAGAAATTGGTGCATTGAAATCTGTCATTAAAATAATTGAAGAGTGCAATCTAGAAAACGAGTATTCACAAGAGCCACTTCAGAAACGTATTGAGCAGCTGAGAAGCAGCAGGCAGACAGAAAAGCCCCTGCAACTCCTTCTGCTTTCAAGCCTCAGCATCAACAGACTGCTCAGAAGGCCATTCAGGTGGCAGCTCGGCGGGAAGGAAGAAGAAGCAGGCACTGTCAAAGCAGCAGCAGGTGGCAACAAGCATCCTAAAACAAGTGCATCTGTTGTTCGCACAGTACCCTCATTGAGTGCTGCTGGTTCAACTTCTGCGATTCCTCCGTTCCAGCAAGCTCATCTTCGGCCAGTAGGTTTATTGCCAGATCATTCTGCTGCATATTTACGTTCACCAGCCCCTCCTTTTGGCATGCCAGGTTCTACTCCTGTTGCTAATCCTTATGCAGGCCCATCAGCTCCGATGTATGGCATGGCGGGAGCCCATATGGGTTTCCCTTTGAATCCAAACCCTGCTGCATCCCATTTATATAATTATGACAGGCAGCCTATTTATGGTGCATATGGTATACCGCCACAATACCATCCATCTTACCCCCACAATAGCTCGTGGTATGCTTCCGGTTGCCAGGGCATTGACCTTGCTTTGATATAACTGGATTGTATTGCGTAAACCTAAACTTGTCGACAGGCTTTCTTGACAGGTTGAGGCTACATTGGATTCATCTATTGATAATTTTGCGAACTGATAAGAAGATTTATGTAAATATGGTTTAGTTTTCAATCCAGAAAGCTCAAATACAAGCAGCATTCCATTATGTGTTCACTGTTGTACCCTTGTTTTTACGGGAAGATCTAGACATAACATTGCTTGGGATTTGGAAATCTTTCTATTTTTTGGTTGCCCTATGCAATATATATGCTTGCCTTAGTTTTTCTCGACCCTTTCGGTCGAGACTGCCGACTGCTCTAGACAATGTAGTTAGCATATTCGCTGTCCTACACCATGGGGTTAACCCCATCCAACTTCGTATCTTTTCATCACTTCTCCGAGTCCTACCAGAGTTTTTCTTTCTTCTTTCTTACAGAAGGTTTTTCTTTCCATGATTGTAGAGTTCATTGTTCTTAGATTTAAGCATTTAATGAGTGACCATATACGGTAATATCTGATAACCGAGTATTTACTCATCTGGTAGTTCTATTTGGTTTATGTAACCATATCTGAGTTAATGAGAGAAAGGGTTTATTGTTGTTGGTATTTCTTAATGATGTAATTTATCTCGGTATCGTTATTTATGACTGTCTGAGTTGCTGATAATAGTTAAAAGATTGCTCATTTATGAACTTGCTTTACTGTGGGAGGATTTCCTTTCTTCTTTTGATATTGGGTTTTGACAATGTACTTTGTAATCCGATCGGAGATTAATTATTATTTAATAATAAAATAGTATTTTCATTTAGATTTGTATATACTTTAATAGACATCCATTTTAAGGGCTTGTTCAAGGTAATTTAAATTGTTTAGGATTTTAATAAATATTTAAGCTTTATGTGTACTTATTCCTTTTGTCTCATTTTACATTTTTTTTGCAGAATCAAAGATTGTTGGGTTACTTGTAATGATGTTCACCTTTAACCTTTTTGATACAATGCCGCGAAATTCTTACATTAGTTCCATGATCATAATTACATGACCTCTATAATGTTTCATATTAATGCTTATTTTATTACAAACAAGAACCTTGTACAATTATTTTAAAAATAATATTTAGTAAAATTAAAATTTCAATTGGAGATTAATCTATTTAATAGAATCAAGGTTTAATACAAAAATGCCTAAAGAATGTCTCGAAAAATATTTCAGTCTCTAAGAACGTGTTTCACTGTTTTAAACAATTCAACATTCTTTCAAGACATGTTCTTAGTTTATAATCAATTCAAGACATGTTTCACTGTTTTAAACAAATTCAATATTCAAACCCACTTTCCATTGTTTTAAGCAGAATGATATACTTACAATACAAGTTTATAATATTAGTCAACTCTTTCTTGACAACACACAATTTGCATATATTTTTATATGAAAAAATATAAAAATAAAGGATGTACCACACTTTATTGGCAACAGCAGAGCAGTGCTTCCACTTTATATATGGACTCCACATAGTCTCTAACCCGTATCAGACCCGGATACGAATTTGAGGAGTCACAATGGCTTTCAAAACATAGATTATTCACAATAAGAACAAATTTACAATTTAAACTTTTATTCATTTAACAATGTGAAATCCTTCAATTCAAAGTAATTGATAACTTCTATTCATACTTTCATAAAATTTTAATAATTACATAATTACAAAAATCAGTTTACAAAAATATCATCAGCATTTCAATTAACTGCAGTACATGCCAACAGTTTATAAACTTTCAAAATAAAACACATTCATTTGTCCTGATCTGATCTTCACGGGAGTATGCTATCCTCAACACTTCAACCTTCAGATTTCTTCAAACCTACGTGTGAGAAATCACACGCTAAGTCGATGACTTAGTGAGCAAAAACTAAGAGTACTAAACTTTATAAATGAAATCTTATTTATTTTATTGAAACTTTCATAAAGAATTCCAAATTATTTCCATAACAAGAAGTATACTTATGTATATTATTCTTTTTATATAGCTTTGTTTCCAAATGCCCAACGTAACTATGAGAACTCTAGCTTTTAACCATATTTATTTGTCATTTATTATTCAAAGTATCTCTTATTCACATAAGCACTTTCACATTGAGAATTTTAGTATACCCATGTTCACATCACATTTCCATAATCATACACAAAATCATTAATCACAACTTAAATAATAGAAATTGAATAAAACATTAATAAGATATAACATAAAGAAATTGAAAGGTTTTCGATCGAAAACGTTGAGGTTGACTTATCGCAAGACTTCCTCAATTCTAATACAAAACGAAGAAGTTGCACTCACCTTTGCCTCATTGAAGTCCTAAACGAAACCTTAACGCTTTTGATCGAAAGTTATAATGTCGAGTTGACCAGAAGTTGATTTTGTTCACGACTACACCAAACAATCGAAAATAAATACCAGAATTCAGATCACTTATATCCAATCATAATAACTTAAACTGAAAGAAACATTTAATTTCTTATTTCATGCGCAATAGTATAAGTACTTCCACTACAGTACCGATACTTCCCTTCAATGGTATCGATACCCTCCTACGGTACCGATACCTTTTTGACATTCTGGAAATATCTCTTGGAAATGGTATCGATACTATACCCTTGGTATCGATACTCCCATATCAGTATCGATCCTTTATCAACATACTGATATTACTCTTAGAATTCAACTGATTTTTGCCTTGAAGTATCGGTACTGTTCTTCTAGTACCGATACCCCATGCCCAAAAATACCATTTCCATTTCGAAATTTAACCAAAACTTACCTACATATCCTACTTTGATCTCCTTTTATGCCTTTAAACTAAAATTCTTTCATTAAAATTTTCTTTCTCCATTTACTACTCCCTAATATACAAAATCTCACTAACTTCTAAAAACCATACCATGTTTTCAATCATGCTCTTAATCCATTCTAGACTTTCTATCTCCTTCAATATCCCATGACAAGTCAAATTTAGCCATAGAACTCCAAAAACTACACCATATCAAATCATTTCAAAACCATTTTACAAATTCATTTCTAATTCACTCTTGTTGTTTTAATCCATTACAAGTTTTTCCTTAAGCTTCTATAACACCCAAACTATCAACACCAACCAAAATTTAGAAACCCAAAAATCATAGAAACTTACCTTTGCAATGGCTTCCACAGGAGCAGAAAGAAGATAAGTAAATTTCCAGACTTTTCCCCTTCTACTCCACGTGTTATAACCTATAAAGGTAAGATAAAAAGTCTTTTTTGTGAAAAGACCATAATGTCCTTCCACAATTCCAAATTTGATATCCACTCCTACACAAAATTTCCACAATAAATCTTTGAACTCTCATCTATTCTAATTAACCACTAAATTTTAAATTCTTACATTTTTGTCACTGACCCGATGATTGGGATGTTACAAATAGACCTGTAAAAATAAGCATTAGATTCAGTCTTGGGTCAAAAAAAAGACAAGAATATAAACTTCATATTACCTCTTAAAAGTTTTGTCTCAAATATTCTTTCTTTTGTACTATTAAGGATCATATTTTCCAAACTAGATTACTAAGTGTTTGATTTCAAAACGAGAGTTTTATATATTGTGGAAAACAGAAAAGAAATTGCAACTATTAGACAAGAAAAACTAAAAAATAAAAAGAGAAAAGATTCGATGGTTTTATATTGCAACTATTAGATAAATTATGAAATATGACACCTTTGTGTCCATTGATTTTATATTGTGGAAGAAGGAATCAGGCTTTTCTATGTATCTATATATTTAATGTTTGTAAGTATAAATTTTTGATTGAGCTCCCTTTTTTAGAGCTTTGATTTTGTTTTAAATGATACTGTTGTTTATTCACATAATCACTTTCCTCTTTTGGTACTGTGGGAACTGCGGCTTTAATTCTTGGTGTTTGAGCTGTTGTTATAGGCAGGACATGCTAGAGAATTTTCCCATTTTGTAATGCAAGAATATGGAATAAATGCTGGTTGTGAGGTGGATGAGATTGATGAATTGATGCTTGTTTAAAGAGAATTGTTTGATATTGATCAAGGTGCTAGGAAGCAGTGGAATGAATGGGTGGAAAACAGAATGTAGGTGGGTCAAGATGAAGAGACGTTATTGCGTGCGACTTAATGGAGGATTTTATTTTATTAGGTTCAGATGTGACATCATTGAGTTGAATTTGCAAGTTAGGGGATTGATAAGGTTTTACAAATCTGTTTTCCACCATCTAGTGTAGGGTTAGCTGGAAGTACATGAATACTTATTGAAAGGATTTCGCTTTTACTCAACTTTATTCGGTTTGCTTTGGAATCAACCCCCCCCCCCCCAAATTTTAAGTTATTTAAGGCACTAATAATCGTACTAGAATTAGTTTGTTTAATCTTAGATCGCTACCTGAGTTTGTACTTTATATAATTATATGTTGTTCATGCTGATGATACTAGTAACTGGCAGTTTATCCGTTGTTTTTCACCAGCTAATGAAAGTGAAGTAGGCTTGTAAAACTACATCGAGTAATTTGTTGTTTTGCTTCTTGTTCTTCCAGGCAGAGCCTTCACCAACTACTGGTTCTCTCATTAAGCCTCCGACAGTGCATGGCTCTGTCACTTCTAGTGCATATTCAGCGACTGCTCTGTGTTCCAATCCTATCGACGAAAGAAATCCCAGCTGCTTTGAGTTTAAACCCCCTCCTAGATCAAATCTGGTAATTTGCCCCTTGAAATTAATTTACGATCAGTTCCTATTTCACTACAGCCATAGGTATGGTTAAGTGTTCATAGAATCTGATTTAGCATCCTTCTATCTCTTCTCTCTATATAATTTTTCGATATTGACATCCTTATCTATGTTCATAGCGACCCGCTGCTTGTACTTGTATGGGATATCCTCCTAGTCTAAAGGTTTTGCTTATTCAAGGCACCTGCAGATAAAACCATCTTAGAAGCGAACAATCTCTGCAGATCCAAGGTCAATACCGGATTGTATCGTTTACTCCATCAGCTCCAGTTAAGAATGAGATGGCTGGCTCTTCGAATGAGTTGAGCCTCTCTGTACCAGTTCATACAGCTACTTCTGTGGCTAGTGTTCCTGCTGAAGCCATGTAGACAAATTAAACCATTGGGAACCCAAATAGTGGGATTCAGTCAGGGCAGACTGATCAAAGAGTAACAGGCTCATCCATGATATCCGATGATGGATACAACTGGAGAAAGTATGGACAGAAACATGTCAAAGGAAGTGAATTTCCACGCATTTATTACAAATGTACACATCCTAATTGCGAAGTGAAAAAGCTATTTTAGCAATCTCATGATGGGCAGATTACGGACATAATATACAAAGGTACACATGATCATCCTAAACTTGAACCTAGTCGCCCGTATTCTTCTGGAAATACCATGTCTGTACAAGAAGAAAGATCTGATAAGGTGCCATATTTGACTGGAGGAGATGGTAAGGAGTATTCTACTCATATAGTTTGTGTGTGTTTTAGCCGTGTTTTAAATTATGAGTTAATCTTTTCTTTTTCTCTGTTTTAGACAAGTCATCCAGCATGTATGGCCAGATGGCTCATAGTATTGATCCAAATTGTACAGCAGATCTATCTCCGGTCACAGCTAATGATGATAATGTGGGTGATGCTGATGCTGATGATCCTTTCTCAAAGCGAAGGTATTGTTACTGTCACTGGAGGCTTCAGCTTTTTACCCTGGTTTTGTATGCTTGCTAAGTGATATTATTCAATATGAGCAGGAAGTTGGATGGTGGGACTGATATCACCCCTGTGGTGAAGCCAATCCGGGAACCACGTATTGTCGTACAGACTTTGAGTGAAGTTGATATCCTGGATGATGGGTATCGATGGCCCAAATATGGGCAAAAAGTAGTGAGAGGAAATCCTAATCCTAGGTACATATCATGAAGATTTGATTAAATGATAATAGTGGTATGTTTCAAGATATGATTTTTAGAACAGTATATTGGTTGGCATGAAACTCCATTGGAAGCATTCTGGCTTTTGCGCATTGTCATGAATTAGAGATATGTTTCTCAGTTCTTCTAGAGAAAATAACCTCAGTGACCGAAAATGCCTTATAATATACAAATTTAACTAACTTTTTTTTGGATTTACCAAAATGACCAACAAAATTCGCAACGCGAACTCCAATTTCGTAACCCAATTTCCAATTTCGCAATACGATAGTCAAATTCGCAACACAAAGTCAAATTCGCAACGCGATAGTCAAATTTGCAACACAAAAGTCAAATTCGCAACGCGAATTTGTAAATCGCAACACAGAAGTCAAATTTGCAACGCGATAGTCAAATTTGCAACGCGAAAGTCAAATGTTTTTACGCGAAATACAATATTAATTTCGCAACACAAATGTAAACATTATTATCGCAAATAATCTCTAACCTAAAACCCTAAATCACAACTCAGTCCCATCTCCGACGAAATCCGTCCATCTCCATCTCTCAGAGCAACCCTCACAACCATTCACGGTCAGAAATGGAAAATCAACCACCGAGGGTTAGTTTTTTTAATCTCTTATTTTTGTTTTGAAATTTTTGTATTATTATTAGATTTTTCTTATATTGATGATAAATTTACTGGTAATTTCAATATATATAGATTAACCATTTCACTGAGATTGCTTAGTAAATTCATTCGGTTGCTGCCAATACTGCTAAACTGTTTAGTCTTTAACCATGTGAAGTTAGTATTTGTCTTTGTTTTGTCTTTTTGTTGAAGAAACCCTAAATCGCAACACCAAATTCGCAACGCGAAAATGAAAATAGCAACGCGATTTTAGTTTCGCGTTGCGAATTTAAGTTTCATAAACTTCTTTTATTCTTCCAATTGAAACTTGAATGAATTGCATTACTTCAACCAAAAAACAAAGACAAATACTAACTTCACAGTGTTGCTAATTTAAGTTTCAAGAATAAACTACTACTCTTTATGTTGTCCTTGAACCTGCACTAAACATATATGTTGTCCTTTTAAATGTTTATATAAGTGCTTATTTCTAGAATGTTATCTGATGCATTTTGTGAACTATGATGGAATAATGACTTGGGTGAATACCGTGCTAGTTTGAAATATATTTGGCTTTGTTTTCACTGTTTAATATCATGTCTGTTTATATTGTTTAATTTGTAGTTTTTGGTATATCTAACTGTATGTTTATTGTTTTTGTAGAATTTTTTTTCGGCTGCATTAACCTTAAGGAATAAATTAAGCCTAGCCACTAAAATTGCGTCTACGCTTACACCTCTACAAAGAAAATTGTTTGAGGATACTTGCTTCGGGCCATGGCTGAAAGTGCAACATACGGGTGGAGATGCTATGTTGACACATTTGTTTCTTCAGACCATGACTAACGATCTACCCAAGGGGATACAACGTGGTGATGAGGAGATATGGTTTCATTTTCCTCCGGCACATACTTGTTTTAGGCGGGAGGAGTTTTTCTTAATCACTGGTCTACGCTTCGGACACGATGATGTAGGTCGGTACACTAGTCATATCACCCACCCATCATGGTTATCTCAGGTTTTTCCTGAGCTGGCAAAGTCGAAGCAGAGTTTACACGTCGACGAATTGAAGAGATTATTTGATAAAGATGATTTTACTTGGATGAATGACCTTGATGTTGTATGAGTATGCCATTTATTACTTTTACATGCCGACTTTTTAGGCAAAGAGGACAGACAACCTATCTCCGAGGACCTAATATTATTGGTAGAGGACCTAAATGCATGGAACCTGTTTCCGTGGGGTTCATATCTATGGAAAGCTACCTGGAAGAAGTTGTCGTCTGCCTTTGAGGACTGAAAATGTTTGCGGGGTGATGGACTTGGGCCTTTAAGGTAAGAATTTCTATAATGTTTCCAAATTATAATTAATTATTTAACAATTATAATGTTTGTGTATTATTTGTTTGTAGATTTGGATATTTGAGGCTTCCCAGCATGCAGACATATGCGATAAAAAGATCAAATGATATCCTAGGGCTATTACCTGGAAGAGGATCCGCTGTTGGATTGGGAAGAGTTACCCCATATACGACGATGATGATGTAAGTTAACACAAATAATACCATATATAAACAAGTTATTACTAGTACAATTTAACTTTGTTTGAGCTTTTATATTGTTAGGAGGCCAACTATCCATTACAGAGGCTGACACCCACAGAGGCTGAGCTTGTCACTGATTGGTGGTAAGCTAGTAAGCGGTTTTTTGATGGGACGGATGATGAGCACCCCCACCTCGAGAGCCATCACCTGATCGGGCCGATTCTACAGCTCGACATCCGGAGCCATCACCTGATCTAGCCTCTTCTCCACCTCCACCATCACCTATTCCATCACATCATCGAGCCTCTTCTCCACCATCACCTCATGATAGGCGACCGACAAAGAGACCACGACATTTATCTCCCTGTTCTCCACCTCCACGGGATGAGTTAGGGGAATTACGTGATGAGGTCGGTGCTTTGCGTCATGAGGTCGGTACTTTACGTGAAGATAATGGTACATGGCGTGATGAGGTTCGATCTTTACGTGGTGAGGTGGATTTTTTACGCGATAACAATGGTGCGCTATGCGGTGAGGTATATACTTTACGTGATGAGGTTGCCGCTCTACACGAGATTGTTTCATTGTTGTAAAATGAGGTTCATACTCTACGCAATGAGGTAAATTTATTTAATACTATACTAAAAATGCAAATAACCTTTTTTCGGCATTATTTATTTATTTATGTACTGATTTATGTATTAATTTATTTTCAGCGGCCCGATAAGGTAGATGTTTTACGTCGAGTTTTTCTTGCACGACAGGGTTCACGCATAAGACGTCGTGCACGTGCCATTACGTCTCCGTTCACCCCACTAGTGCCAAGACTCCGTAAGAATAAGCCTGATGCACCTATCATCATTCAAGAGGCGCCTCCTATCGTTCAAGAGGCCCCTCTCATCATCGAAGAAGCCCCTCCTACCGTTCAAGAGGCCCCTGTCATCGTTCAAGAGGTCCCGCTCGCCGTTCAAGACCCCGATTCACATGGCGTCATATATCAACATATTGATAAACCCCCTCCCGTGCCCGATATAATGGATGCGAGTTGGCTTTCGTATGTGTTACCGGCCAGTACCATTCCTCAGCAGGAGAGGGGAAACACTACCGGACACAATTACGGATAATACTCTTTGGGCTAAGACCGCAGTTGATTTTTATCTACATGAGCGGAGCAAGGGATTTTATTCTGACCTATGCCAAATTGACGATGCTATTAATTTGTTTCTTGATCGGTATTGGTGGGGTATTTTATTAGGGGTTGAAGATAATGGCTATCTCGAAGGGGTGGTAAGTCTTATATTCTTCTTATATTGCATTTTGATTAAAAAAATTAAATTATTAATAAATTCACTAATATATTTATTTTTTTATAAAACAACATATTGATGCATGGGTGTCACATCTTCTAATAATAAGGAAATTGAGGAAAAGAAATAATCGTTGGACTATTATGTCGACGTCTTTTCACGCAGTTCACTTGAAGGATCAGAGAGATGCTTCATATACGTTGGGTAATGGAAAAGCTAAACTTTATCCTGCGTGGTGGGAGGTCGATAAGGTTAGTATTTATTTTTTGAATATTTTAAAGGTTTTCATAAATTTTATTTGATGTGCGCAATTATTTATGATTGCAGGTGTTTATCCCTGTTTTGAAATGTCGTCATTGGCTTCTCGTCGAGCTTCAGCTCCCATCCCTGAAGACAATGGCATATGAAAGCATGTTGAATTACATATCATTGTCTGATTTGAGAGATATTATTACAAAGGGATAGAGCGATCATTTGGCTAAATACTTGGATGCGATTGATTATTAGACAAATTCTGGAAACAAGAAGCCAAAGAAATTCAAAATTACAATGATCAGAGACGAGACTGCACCACAACAAACGTAGGGAGCCAGAGGGGATTGTGGTCCTCTTGTATGCTTGTGCTTGGAACGTTTGACGATAGGAAGTAAACAGTATCTACCTCCCACAGATAGAGATAGAGGTGTAGTAGGCTTGTGGTTTCAGCATTATATGGCCAGATCGATATATACGAGACGTTACCTACCTGCATCCGCGTGCTGAAAGTGTGCATAAATAATTGGTAAGTTTGAGCAAGTGTTATTAACATATATACTCTTTAATTGGTTTGAAAATATTTGGTTAAGTACCTAGAATTCAATAATTTGCTTTTTGTTGGTTTTAGATGTTAGAAAGTGTTGTTTGAGCAAATGTTTGGTTTCTGCAGGTTAATCCTGAAGTGAGCTGCGTGAAATTGATGTATTTGTGCATAAACAACAGTCTGGGGTACATTTTTTTTGCTTTATTTAATTGATTTTTACATTGAAAGTTGATTTGTTGTTTAATTGATGAGAAATAAGATTTATTTTTGATTAATTGATTTGTAAAAGTGATTTGTTTATTTGATGTGTAAATAAGAATTATTTTTTGCTTGTTTAATTGATTTGTAAAAGTTGATTTGTTGTTTCTAAAAAATTCAATCTGCATTATTTTGAAGGTAAAAAGACCCGTTGAAGGTACAAATTCGCAACGCGATTTTCGGTTTGCGAATTTGACTTTCGCGTTGCGAATTGGCTATCGCAACGCTTATTTCGCGTTACGAATTTGACTTTCGCGTTGATCGCAACATACAACATCAGGTATATACAACATCAAACACATTCCAAGCTATAAATACAAGCTAAGGACACTTGAAGAAGCAAGAGAACAACTATCCAAGCAATCAAACACGAAAATCCCAACATGATAACAACTGAACATGTCATAGCAATGTTCAAACTCAAGTTGTAGATTTTGATTTCCTTTTGCTTGGCACCATATGAGATTTGGATTTTGATTTCCTTTTGCTTGACACCATATGAGATTTGAATTTTGATTTCCTTTTGCTTGGCACCATATGAGCTTTGGATTTTGATGAGCATCAGAAGCATTTCGGACTTATGATTTGGGTGGTACTCGGAAGCATTTCGGATTTAT